AACCCCAAAACCCCAAAACCCCATCTTGGTAAAATAATCGTTTAATTATGAAAAAGGAATTGAACTGTTAAATTATTTATTTTGAATATGATTAACACATCAACTACCGCAGCAACTATAGCTAATAACTCATTTTAGCATTAGAGCTAAGCTATGGACCCTAATCAGTCCTACTCTGATGACTAATCGATGACTATAGATTTCATAGAAAGACTTAGATATCAGTAATAATAAATGAATCAATTGTAGGAGTCACTTTTTATGCATATTTTGTCAAAATGTAGTCAACCCAAATCATGCCAATAAAATGATTTGCAAGACTTTTAATGAGAAGAATAATAGAATCTTGATTTTCTACAGGCTTTGAAAGTAAATTGTTGAAGGTTTGTTTATTTGCAATATAGAGTTAATTGGAGTAAGCCAGGAAAATCATAGAAAAGTAAAATCAAGAGAAAATTAAGTTAGTGTAGGTTCTGAAATAAACAAGAAATTAGTTAACTGAGGCAAATTAAAAAGAGCCTGAGGCTATTATTGCTCCTGAAAAGTGTGATGGAGAAACTCAAACAGAGAGCTAAGTTGTCTAGAGAGAAAATTTATCAATAATTCCTCCACAATATAGCTATAGATCTCATGAGTCTGTTGATAACATTAGCAATTCAACTAAAATTGTGAAGGTTGTGAATACCCCTACTGAAACATTGAGACCGTTTAGGAAGTTGAATAACATCTTTGATAATATCAATAACACTGAAACTGAGCTGACAAAGTTGCTAAGAGAGAAATAGTACAAATTACATTTTGAGAGGCAAGCTAATGAGATATTAGGAGGGAGCGACTCTAACAATAATTCACCGAATGAGATAGACGACTGTACACCCGAATTCGATGAATCGAAATCTTCTAATAACATGAAAGATGAGACTTCATTATAATTCACAAATAACTAGTTTACCGAGCAGTGTCCCTCATTCTTCACTACCTCTATTTAAAGGATATAATCTGTTTCTACAAGCAAAAATCTTTAATCTGAGGAGTATAAAAGTGGTGAAAGGCTGTATAAGCTACCAAATGGTGCTAATTCAAGATAGAATACAATCAAGATCGAGCCTTTTCAAGAATGTTATTAGTTAACTTTCTAGAGTGGGAGCGACAAAGAGAATAAGAACTTGCAAGAATCCTATCCACTATAAGTATCCTAAAAAAGTAATAGCAAATAATTAAACTAAGACAGTCTAAAGCCAAAGTAAAGGATATCAGTCCCGCCCTTGCCGAAAGATCATCAACTGTTTATCAACTCTTAAGTTGCCCAAATAAAGCCGCAGGAGTTATTCAGAAATAGGAACGACAAATAAGTTCTTCAATAAAAAGCAAAAACTTATTAGGATTCCCCTTAACCTCTTAACACTAATCGCACAAGCACAACTATTGTTCATCAAGAGGAGATTCATTCCAATAAATTTTGGATTAACTAAAAAGGAAAGTCAATGAAAAGAGAAAAGTTCCTCTTAGACTAGACTAAGCAAGATCACTAATAAATTAGGGAATTAGAATTGATGAATCTAAAACTCCAAAAAGAGCTAAAATAAAAACAGAACATTTTAGATGATCTTCATATTTAACAATAATGTTAACAGGTAGCTTAATAAAAAAGAAACTGCAGAAGTTCTCTTGCAACATTAGCCTAGTCTTATCATGAGATTAATATGAATACCTTTAATGATGAATACTATTCATCAAATAATAATCCTTGCAGATCCTACATCCAAACTGATAAGTAAGGATTAGATTTGGACGACTCAAGAAGAGTTAGGAAATACGAAAGTCCATAAAGAGACAATTATGATTACAGATAGGCTGAGGATGAGTCTCACTAAGCTTAGGATGATTCAATGAAAGGATAATATGAAAACTTTATTTAGGACTTTAGTATCAATGAGGAAAATTTAAGAAGAGATAGACAAAATAGAATTAGAGCCAAAGCAAGCATTTTAGATTAATCGAAACATCATGAAAAGAGTAGCATGGACTATAAGGATTTAGAGACTGATGAGTATCAAATGCTAAATACATCTCATTCAATTCCAGGGGATGAGGCTACTATCAACAGAAGACCACAAATAACGAGTAATGATGAGTTTACTATAAATAAATTCAGATAAGTTAAGCATTAGGGAAAATTTAACCATTAGGAATCAAAGAATAATTTAAATCTAGGCAAAAAGGAGACAAGTCACAGGCAGGTGTATAGTTTCGCTTTCCCTTAAAATGAGGATTCATTCATAGTAAATACATCTGTGACGCCCAAGATAAATCAGCCAAGATTCGGAACTCTCTATAACAATCATACACCTTTGAATAACAATTAAATAATTTCAAGTCAGAGTAGTAAAAAGAAGTTCAATGTTAACTAGCAATATCAATCATTTTTAATTTCTCAAGAAAAGATGAATTCAAGCCGTTAATCTTAGCCGTAGCTACCCAATTTCTAGCATCGAAGTTCATAGCAAATTTATCAAAGTCATTCTAGCTTCAATAACTATGTGAATGCCTAGAATACTTAAATGAGTTTCAACAGCAATCGAGAAAATTATAATCATAGAAATAAAAAGAACTCATAACAGTAAACAACTGGCAACATCAATAAAAACGTAAATGGGCAAAAAAGGAAAAACTATAACTATTGCCTTAATCAGGCATAGGAAAAAGAGATATTAAATTACAATAGTTGCGGAGGCAATATTATCAACAATAACAATTTAATTGGAAACAGCATTTATAATACTTCCAGCTCAAATAAAAAGAATTAGAACTTTGGAAAGAGAGGGACTATCTATAATAATCACATCACTTTCATCTCCAAATTTAATTGACACTTAATTTTCTTAATTACTTATCTATTTGATTAATTCGGGGTTTTGGGGTTTTGGGGTTTTGGGG